GGGGATTAAACCTGCAACTTTAACTGCATTAGGGGTGGTTAGTACAACTGTGTGTGGCCCTGTCCAAGTTAGCTTTAAGGGAGCCTTTTTCCAGTTTTTTACCCATACTGTGTCACCAGGTTGGAACTGATGTGCCCAACTTCCTAAAGGAATGGGAGCTCATTCCAAAACTGTTTTAGATGTCTGTCAGAGAGTCCTGGCCAGTGGCTGTAAGTACTGTGATGTTTCTATCTGCCCCAACTGGTAAGGATTCCCCTGCAGTCTAGCTATAAGCAGGAGTGGTCTCCCATACATGATCTCAAAAGGGGAATATCCTGTTGACCCCATCATACACTGGGCCTGCAACAAGGCTAAGGGAAGTATATCTACCTAGGGTAGCCCCATCTCCTGGCAAAGCTTGGCTAAAGTGTCCAGTTTATGCATTCCACTTTCCTTGAGCTCTGTGGCCAGTATGCTGTGTGAAGCTTACATCGTATCCCCAGCATTTTGGCCAGTCCTTGAATGACCTCTGCAATGAATGCTGGCCCACTGTCTGACCCTATAGTCAGAGGGAGTCCATATCTTGGGAAGATTTCCTTTAAAAGGGCTTTTGTGACCTCCCAGGCTTGCTTGGAATATGTAGGCAGTGCCTCTGTCCATCCCATGAATGTACATATCATTACTAACAAATACTTATAGCCCTGCAGGACTTTACTTCAGTGAAGTCTATTACCAGGTCCTTGAAGAGCAATGTCCTGACTGGCTAGACTCCAGGGGCTGGCCGGGGCCCTTGCTTGGCATTGTTTTGAATACAGGTTGGGCATCGGGAGCTGATCTGGCACAAAGGGAAGCCAATCTTGGAATGAAATAGTAGTGACTCAGCATGGTCTCCAGGGCTGTTTTTCCCCATTGAGTCACTTTGTGATACTCCAGGACTAGGTCCATTTTTCCCCAATTAGTCAGTCCATGATACTTCAGGACTAGTCAGTGGGCCAGTTGTTGAGGAATCATTAGTCTGTTGTCTGGGAGTTTCCACCATCCTTCAGGGATTTTAATTCCACCTTCTTTTTCTGCCCATTGTGTCTCTTCCTTTGTGTACTTTAGTTGTTGTGTTGTCTCTGGCACCAGCGTGATCTCGGCCATCTCATTCTGGTCTGTAGTAGGCTCTGTTTGGGCAGCCGCTTTCTTGGCTGTCTGTTTGGCTAGCTGGTTTCCTTTAATGATCTTGTCAGTCCCCTTTTGGTGTCCTCTACTGTGTATAACAGCCATTTGGGTGGGCGCCCATATTGCTTCAAGGAGCTGGAGAATTTCTTCCTTATATTTGATTGTCCTTCTTCCTTTCCATCTTGGGGAAAGGATTTTGCCTCTATAACCTCTTTATGGGTTGTTACTGCATATCTGGCTCTTCGTTGTCCTTCCTGTACATAACTGCTCTGGGTTGGCCAAGGGTAAGTCAGTCAAATCAGGCCTGCTGAAGTATAGTCATGGTCCAGGGAGCTGGACTCAGCAGGTAGGAGTGTGGCTGGATTCCGATTCTGCACTGTTTCAAGGTTCACCTGGTGGTTTTCACAGAGGAGTCATTGATAGTAAGTCATCCTGGAGTTAGTCAGCCATTTGTATCCCTGACTGTTGGAGTGGTCACCACATGTGGGACCTTTACACTGAGATTTTGTCACAAAGTGAGTTTGTCCACCTCTTGGATTAGGGTGACCGTGGCTGCCAGGACCCACAGGCAGGGTGGCTAGCTGGCTGCCATGGTGTCCAGTTGTTTGGAAAAGTATGCCACTGGCCTCTGCCAGGGTCCTATGGCCTGGGTGAGGACCCCCAAAGCCACATGATCTCTCTCATGTACAAAGAGTTTAAAGTCCTGAGTTATCTAAAAGTCCAAGGGCAGGAGCCTGTGTTAACAAAGTTTTGACTTCTAAAAATGCATGTTCTTGTTTTGGACCTCACTCTAGGGGTTCCTTCTCAGCTCCTTTGATTACCTCATAGAGAGATTTAGCCTTTTCTGAGTATCCCGGTATCCAGATTTGACAGAAGCCAGCACCCCCGAGGAACTCCTGGACTTTCCTCTTGGTGTCTGGTCAGGGTATGGCACAAACAGCATGTTTTCTTTTTATTCCCAGCAAGCAGCATCTTTCAGAGATGTGGTACCCTACGTATCTGACTTCTGTTGACATATCTGAGCTTTTTCCCAGGACACTTTATATCCTAAGTCAGAGAGCAGGCTCAGTAGGGTTCTTGTTCCTTCCCAGCAGTTTTTCTGTGTGGGACTAGCCTGGAGGATGTCATCAACATATTGAAGCAGGGTGTAATTCAACCTGTCTCCTGGGAAGGCAGCTAGGTCTGAGGTTAGCACTTCTCCAAAGAGCATAGGTGAGTTTTTGAACCCTTGCAGCAATCTAGTCTAGATCAATTGAGATTTTCTCCCTGTGCAGGTATTTTCCCATTCAAAGGTGAACAGCAACTGACTTTTGGGTGCCAGTCAGAGGCAGGAGAAGACATCTTTGAGGTCAAAACAGGAGAATCATCTAGCCTGTACAGGGAGCAGACTCAGAAATGTGTAAGGATTGGGCACCATGGGGTGGAGGGTGACAGCTGCCTTGTTCACAGCGCACAGATCCTGGGCTGGATGGTAACCCTTTCCATTGGTTTTTTTGACCAGCAGGAGTGGCGTGTTTCAAGGTGACTGACATTCCACCAGGATCCCTGCTTCTTGTAACCAGTGGACATGTTCTTGGATTCCCAGTTGAGCTTCCTGAGGGACCGGGTACTGTTTTATCCTGACCAGTGTTGCCCCTGGTTTCAGCTCTATAATTATAAGGGCATGGTTCTTTGCCATACCTGGGGGGTCCCAATTCTGCCCAGATGGAGGAAAGTCTCTGAAGAAGCAGTCTCTTAAGAAGTCTGATGGTCCTGTGTTTGAGTCTTCTTTGGCCTTGGTGTATAGGCACCATTCCTCTTCTCTGGGCACTGTTACAGCCATCACTAAGGTCTTTTGGTTATTTAAAGTCAAGCGAGCTGCTTCACTGGGTGTGAAGGTTATTTGTGCCCCTAGTTTTCTCAGCAAATCTCTTCCTAGTAGGGGTACTGGACAGTCAGGCAAATATAGGAATTCATGAGTTACCCCATGACCCCCGGTCTGCTTGTGTCTCTGTAGCACCAATAATAGTGGCTTTTTGGCCTGAGAATGGAGGCACTGGACTACTAACTACAGAGTGTTCTGCTCTGGTATCCACCATGAAAGTCAGTGGTTGGCCCCCTACTACCATTTTGACCATAGGCTCCTGGGGGCCCAGGAAGAGGGAGCCCAGTCTCCCCTAATCTGAGTCTATCCCTGCAAGGCCAATGAGGTTCTGGAACTCTTGGCTCACCAGTTCACACTCATAATTTTTCTTTTCAGAGTCTGTCTTGTCTTGGAACATTGGTTGGGGTCTCACCTCCCTTTTGGGGCACTCATTTTTCCAATGGCTAAACTCCCTGCAGAAAGCACACTGGTTGGACTGTAGGGGTGCACATCTGCCTCCTCAGCAGGGGTTCTTCTTCTTCTTCTTTGATGTGGAGTTATGGTCCAGATTGAGTGCTGCTGCCAAGAGTGCTGCCTTCTGTATTAGGCATCTATCCACTTCCTTCTGGGCCTCCCGGCCACAATTAATGAATACCTTGTTGGCCACCTCCAGGAGTTGCGTGGCATTCATCCCAGCAAACCCTTCCAGTTTTTGAAGCTTGTGATGGATGTCAGCACAGGACTGGGCCACAAGGGCCACATTGACCATCTGTTGGTTCTCATTTGCCTTGGGATTGAATGGTATGTAGATCTGGAAGGCCTCACATAGCCTTTCATAAAATTCTGCAGGTGGCTCATCTGGTTTCTGGGTCACAATGGTCATCTTGGACATATTAGTGGGTTTCCTGGCCCCTGCTCTCAGCCCTTGGAGAAGGGCCTCTCTATATCGGTGAAGTTGATGTCTCCACTCTTTGTTGCTGAAGTCCCAGTTCAGCACAGCATCTGGTGCAGCTTCTCTTGCCCAGTTGTCAGGATCCAGGGCATCTGTGGGCACCTGTGCTTGCAACCACTGTCTGGCTCTTACCAGGATGCATCACCGTTCCTCAGTGTTGAAGAGGGTGAGGAGTAGCTAATGACAGTCTTCCCAAGCGGGCTGATGGGTGAGGAAAATTGACTACAAGAGACTGACGAGGGCCTGGATTTTTTCTGAATATGACGGAGTATGGTGTTTCCAATTCAGGAGATCCATAGTTGTGAAGGGTTGGTAATAGAAGAGGGGGTGCCCGAGGGGGTGCCCTGGCTGCACACTGCCATCTGGATTGACCTGCTGTGGGCCTTGGGTCTCCCACAGGGGCACCTGGAGAGCTAGAACCTGTTGGGCAGAGCAGAGTCACCTTCCCACTGGCTCAGGTCTCTCTGGACTCTCAGGACTCTCAGGTGATAACACCAGCAGGGCCAATGGAAATGAAGCCAGGGGGCTGTCTGGCAAGAGGTGCCTGGGGCCAAGTGTCCCTGAAGGAATGGGATATGGTAGAGGCAAAAGTTCTTCCTCTGGATCTCCTTGCAAGATGGGCTTGGGATTTTGACCTGGTTGAGGCAGTTTTTCTTGAATGTCCAGGTTGCTAGGACCTTACATTGTCCTTTGTGGATGCAGAACTGGACCCATCGGGGCATCACCTGGCAATTTGGAGCCAAGAGTCTATATACAGGAACTGGTCTGGGTGGCTGGGATCCCTTGTTATGACCTCATAAACTGCTTAAAACTTTGGGAGGTGTAGAGTCCCTTCTGAAGGCCACCCAACCCCAAAGGTGGGCCACTCTAATTCACACAAGGTCTGGGACTTCTCAGGAGTCATTTTAATTCCATACTCCCCAGAGTAGCTCTTCTGAAAGTTCTTTAACATACATCCAAGGATGGTAGGTTTTGAAGCACTTGTCCCCATACTTAATTCTGGCCTCCCATTCCTGCCTCAGGCATTTATATCCCAAATAGTGCTGGTGCTGCCTCTCAACAAAGGTTTAGAGTTCCCAAACTGCTTTCTCATATACTGGTGTAAGAAGTTTGCAGGCAGCTAGGGACTGCAAGGGGGAAACAGTCCCTACTCTACACTCTGTATGGCGAGATTTCCTGGCATAAGGGAAATGGCAGCCTGAGTCCCCTATCACCTGGCAGGTTGAGTGGATTTGTAGGGTGTGCACAGAGACCAACAGCCCATAGATTAGGGCCTTCTTGCCATAGGCAAATGACCAAATTCCAGGGGAATAAAGGTGAAGGGAGAAAGTTTGACAGTGACAGAAAAGGTGTACTAGGATATGGCTCTAATCTGGGTTCCCTTCTAAGTGGCTGAGTGGGGGCTTCACCCCTGGGGGTGTATGGAACTCATGCATGGGGAGGAGAACTCTATCACAGAATGGGCAATGGATCTCCCATGGCAAACAATATGAAAGGACACGTCACTTCTCGGGAGTCAAGTAAATGTTGCCTAGGTCCAAAAGGAAGCATTCGCCTCTCTTTCAGGGATGCTGTGGGGGTGGTCAGACATAAAGGCTTTTGCCTCTGCCACGTGTGGGACCCCTCCTGGATCCCTCCCTGCAGCACAGACGCAAACAGACAAAGGGTAGGGAGCCCCTCCCCCCAGAGAAGAGGGAAGACCACACAGGCATCCACCTGGCTGCGTCCCTTGAGACTTTAGGTCTGTCTTGGCTAAGCTGTACTCATATAAACCCCACGCCTGGTCCAGTCCACCAGGGACTGGAATCACCATTATGCCATACGACCTGAGCATGGAATCGCAGGTTAAGACCCAATTGGACACTGCGATTTGGAAGTCTTGGTGTCACAAATATCACACACTCACTCACACATTCACTTAGAGGTTAAACATTTCCCTCCATCAAACGCTGACCTGAGCTGAACAGAAAGACCCCACCACAGGGTCCCGACCAGATGGAACTTACTACTCAGGGACCAATCAAGCTCTCAAGGAGACTGTTCCGGGAGGTGATCAAGCTCCCCTTCTGCCCAGAGGTGGGCCTGTACTTGAACTGATGGGGGAGGGTGCCTATCTGTCCTGCAGAAGGCCACAGGGTCTTCTGGCAGGTGCTTCCCTCTGCTGAGTCCCATCAGGCAGGCACTCCCTAGGATCAGCTAGGTCCCGTCGTCCAAGGTCCTGACAAAATGGCCAAGTGGTACCTCCTCAGTCCTTCCTGGCGTCGCCAATCTGCCCGGATGCCCCACCCAGACTGGTGGCCCAAGGGGCCAGTCTGAATCACTTCCCAGGCAATCCACCAAAAATGTTATGGAATGGACTTCAACAGAAAAGCA